AAAGTTTTCTTCATTCAACAATACTGTATTTAAAAAATGAATAAATAAACTTACACTTGATGAAATAAATTTACTCTCAAAGCTATGATGATATCTGACAGGCATTTTGGATGTTGTCCCCCCACAAAATGGCATAAGTTTAAAGCTTTTATCTTGAAAACTACCAAGACGAGCTCAATGAAATTGAACAGTTCAAGTGTTGAATTAATTTAATCAGAAAATACAACTATAGAATCTTGATCTATTTCAATACGTTCTGTAAAAATTCGAGGTCATTTCAACAATGCCAAAACTAATGTCCTGCGAAGTTTTGAGGACACCGTGTATTCGTGTTCTTGTGAGAATTGTGCCGTGGCACACAAAGCCCTCCCTCCTTGTCTTCTCAGCTCTCATCTCATACAGACCACCAGCCGCCAAACTAAATTGCTGCACCTGCGGGTCTCATCTGACCCGCAGCATCAGGCAGTCAAGACAGGCAGGTAATGACAAGTATTTGTGCAACCCCTGAGTGTTTGGTGCAAATGTACCCACTTTCTGTAAACGTACACACAGGGGGTTTTATTGGCATAATACTAGGCCCGTAACTACCAAAAGTGGGCTTTTGATTTGAAATGAAAGGTAAGTCTTACAGTAAGTTGTGCTAATTGACAGTCTGGTGAGGTATATTAATCATGGTAAAGAGTCATTCTTAACTCAGTCAGAAAAAAAATCATGACTACACTGTTCTTTAACTTGATGGTGATCCAGTCAGTTGCTCCTAATTATCATGCACAACATTAATTTAAATCATTTCAAAACACTGCAGCATAAAGCCAAGAAAAGAAAGGTGACTAGAGCCGAAAGAAAAGGAACAGGCCATTCAGTGTAACAGCTCTTCGAAATCAAGGTCCCATTTTGATTGTTCTATTTTTTTCTTAATTTATTAATAATTTTGTCATTGCCTTTTTTTTTTGTTTGTTTGTTTGGCTTGAGCAACTGCTTCAGCAAATGTCTGTGCATGTGCCTGTGCACCACAAATAATGCCCCTTTACGTCATACAGTCTCCTCATTGAGCAGAAGAGGAACAAAAACCTTCAGGCTAATTAACATTTCATGTGGAAAACAGCTTTTTTTTTTTTTTAGAATATGGTTCAAATCCACATTGCTTTTGAAGCAAGTTGAATACACAAATAACTGGCTTATTGTAAGAAAACAAAAACAGAAGCCAACCAAGGACACGGAAGTTTTGGGGCTGAAATGGAAAAAAAAAAAAACTATTATGAAGAGGCAAAGGACAATTCTAAAAAGGAGAAGTAGGTTTGTTTTGCTGCACACAATGAACTGATGTATTTCACAACCGTAAATATTGTATTTTAATTTGCTCAAATGGAAAGGTGAATGCAATTGACCCGTGGAAATCATACACTGAAGCCGTGTAAGATTCTTATACTTTCTGCACGTCATTGTTAGAAAAAAAAATGATGACCTTTTCCTCTGGGCGAGAGTGATAAATGTTAAATGACATACCCAGTGCACCAATGCACTCTCCATGAATTCTTCTATTATCTCCATCACACTTGAGTCCATTGTAGTGCCACAATAGATGAGAGGCACAACTGCAGTCAGGCAGATGATTAACAAACAATATCAGTTCTTTAATGTAGTGACTCTCACAGAGTCCATCTTCTGTCAAGTGAAGTAGTTTGACATTTGTGAGGCTCTTCTCCTCCCTTCCTCTCTCCTCCACCCCCTCCTCTTCCTCTCTGACTGTGACGCCCAGTTTCATTGCAAAACCACACCGGAATTGTCAAAAGGCTCATGTTGCATTTGTTAGGCAGTCTTCTTGCCACACTATCATGTTTCCTATTATTCAAATGGATCATAACGTATGTCATATGGTGATTTGACAAATCATGTGCTGAGATCCCATGACTAGGCCTCATTTCCTCATGTGTGTGCTAAAGAACAAAACCCAGCTCAGCCTTTTTTTTTGTTTCTCTCATGTTATTCTCTGGATGTGCAATGGGCCAACGTTGCTTCACATGCAGTCAGACATAATGTGGGCATTAAGGGGAAAACAACGATTATTATCGCAATTTAGAATTCAAGGAACCCAACGTCAGTGCAGACTGAATAATTCACTATTTCCACTCTGTTTCTTCATTCCCGTTTTCGCACACTGTGTGTTGGCGCTCTCTAGTGGTAAACAATCAGAGGTTCCATTTGCATCAATTTTGATCACATTGGTCAACATCAAATTTTTATCAGAGATTGCTTTAAATGTATCTAAGCATATTTTTTCCGATGATTTTTAGAAAATACACAGTACATTTACTTTTTTTTTCCAGTACGTCAGGTTTTTGAGACAATGTTTTGTTGTTTTTAAGTTTGATCTGTAAAAGCGTGTGCAGTACGGATTGTACCATGCGTTGTAACACACTTATGACGTTTCTGGAAAAAAATCCCACCTGTTGCTGAACCTAACCCTTAATTAAAAAAAAGGTATAATAAAAAAGTATAATAATAATAATAATAATAATAATAATACATTTTATTTATAAGCGCCTTTCAAAACACTCAAGGACACTTTACAATCAGGAACAAGAACAATAAAACCACAGATAAAATTATACCTTATTAAATTGTCTCCCCTTATGGGCTCCCTATAGTTTTGTATTACACATTAAATTATTCCTATTGTTTTTATTCGAAAACAATACAATGCGTCAAACTAGTAAATGCTCATTATTGCTTGCACTCTCTGATGTGCATTATGTTCGGCATCGTATCAAGCGGAGCGGGATTAATAATAATGTCCTTTATGTATCTTAATAAACAAGGAATTTAATAATACAGTACATGTAAGTGATTTAATTGATGACATTTTCATTTACGATTGAACATTACTTACTGCTGGCTGGACTGGCCATACAACTTTCAGGGCAGATGCCTAGAGCGTCAGCATCTTTTGGGGCCACTACAGTGCTATTTAATAATTATTTTGCTCCAGTTTATCCCAAGAGACTGGTCCACAATTAAGAGGCAGCAGCCCAGTGATCTATTTACCATACATCGTATTTTCAAACCATAAGGTGCAATTAAAATCCTCTAATTTTCTCAAAAATTGACAGTGTACCTTGTAATCCGGTGGGCCTTATGTATTGTCGGGATATCGGATTTTAAGTATGTTGTCTTTAATTCAAATTCCTTTCTATTTACTTTCAGACATCAGGCATACATGTTTTTGTCATACCGGAACTGAGGCTACATCCTACTTTGGTGTCTAATGCAAACTGAGCGATTCTGGTGGCACATTTCCAGTGTTATAATGTGGGACAATATCTTTTTTGTATGTGCGAGGTAAACAACACAGCCCCCCTTCTTCTCCACATATCGCTTCACGCTGAACAAAAGAATGTGAGACCTGGTCTGAACCTTGCATAATAATGGGAAATCTATCAAGAAAACATATGATACAAGTAGAATAAAGTATTTGTCATACAGTACAATGCTTCACAAAGAGAAGGCGCCTTATAATCCAGTGGGCCCTATGTATGAAAATGTGTAAAAATAGACTTGCTGATTGATATTGTGCCGAATAATACAGTGCATTTTATGGTCCGGAAAATACGATACACAGCAAACTCAACAAAAGAACAACAGTGGCAGAGCTAGATGGTTGATAGCGGTGCTCAGGAGTCACATCTGAATACATATTTATGAGAAACTGTCTTTCGGTAGAACATTTGATTCTGGCAGTCAGCCTTTCCACACCATAGCAAGCAAACAACATGGCTGAGAAGTATACCATCCCATCCACAATCATGACTTCATGAAATAAAATCACACATATCCAGTGCCTTGTTCAACACATAATACAAGCAGGAACAAACATAATTAAAAAGCAGCGCATGCCTGTGTGCAGGCGGACCAGTCAAAGTCAAAATGCCAGGATCAATTTTTTTTTTTCCTCCTGGTAATGTTTTCATACATTTCTTGTACTGACTCCAAGTTGTATTTGTTGCCATCATTGTTGAGCGTTTGTAGAACAATATGTGCAATTCTAGGGACGTATTCTGGGTTATATTTTTTCCCTTGTTGTCAGTAACCATTCGAGTATGCAAATTACTTCTATTTTAGAAGTATCCTGCCAGATTATGACCCCCACTGCAAAGACATTTTTTTCTGTTGTCTTGGGTTTCCCTCATGAAGTTTCCATATTTAATTTTGCGATAATTATAATTGCGAGTTTTGGGTGATGGGTCTAATTTCTGATCTCAGTATGAACCTGAACTTAGACTAGTTTAAATATTAACAACAACATTACTGTCCCCCACGCAATAGCATCAATATGACAGTATATCAGCATGATCACTAAATTCCGCCCCTTCCTAAAGCGCTCATCAATCAGCTCTATAGCCACTGCAGGAATAAAACAAAACATTATGCTGTAAATGTTTTTATTTAAGAAGAAAGTAAATAGAAAGGAATTTGAATTAAAGACGACAAACTTAAAATCCGATATCCCTAAAATACATAAGGCAGGAATAAAACAAAACATTATGTTGTAAGCCTTTTTATTTAAGAAGAAAGAAACACACATTTGGAACATCATAGGCTGTAAGATTGCCCACTATGATATTTTAATGGCATTTTCATCTGTTTTGTTTCAAGTAATAGGAAAAAAAAAACATCCAACACTTGTAGTTGCTCGATGGCAGAGTGTGTTGCCGTGCGTGCAGATAGTGCTTATGTAGTACTTCTTGGATAATGTACACCCGGGATTATCCGATTGTTTCTGAGCTGCCTAGACAAGATGACAGCTTCATATAGGGCACTGAAGTAACACACACACACACACACACACACCAAACACACACACACACACACACACACACACACACACGCGCGCACACGCGCACGCACGCACGCACGCACGCACACACACACACACACGTGTACAGAGACACAAAGATAAATTTCTCTCAGATTGGTCTACACAGTTTGTTTCTTTCCTCTTGTTCCTTGTAAAAAATAGAAGCAGACACTACAAAGCAGTTAAAAATGTCTACCTTTAATAGGCTGTATGTGCATTGCCACTTTTAAACAGTTTCCAAAGCATTTAATTGCAGTTCAGAAAAACTCTAATGCTGTGAGATGATTAATACAGTGCACATGGGACGAACTATGATATCAGGTTAAAAGTATCAAATTAAGGTCAAATTGTCGACTAAACCTGTTAATACTGTAAGAACAAAAATTACTAGCCATCTGCTGAACAGAAGCTCTGATAAATGGTCACACATTCACATTTTGGCTGCCATATATTGGTGGAGCATTAATCAAGCCTAATGTTTCAAAACCAGGAGGTGTTCTACCTGCCACCAGCCACATCATACTCAACCAAGAAAACTTAGATGTGACTTTGCAACTTCCAACATTATTCCGCTTCTGAATTTATTCACTCGTCTTCTAGCTGGAAGATGGCGGTGCCTTTTCTGCATCAGGAGAGCCATCAGCTGCACTGGGGTCAACCTGGCCAAACTTTAGCAGGAGCAGGATTTTTACTTTGGCTTCCTCCAAGGTCTCCTTCACTCCCTTCTCCAGAAGAAAACCCTCACTGTCCCCTTCCGGCTGCTCTTGAGTCGTGGCCCCTTCCACCGAGGTCTGCAGGTAGCGCAGGCTCAACAGGACTGACATCTGTACATGGGAAGGCAGAAAGGATAGGAGCAGTGGTCAGTGAGGTATGTGACACCAATAACTCTGTGAGTACGAAAGCAAATAAGATTTTAGTTTTAGAAACAATAATAATCATGATCATTTTGACTCAGTTCCAAATTCAGCATTTATTCAATTACCAAAATGTAACTTTAAATCTATCTTAAAACAACAACCAGAAAATAATTTTGTATTAATTAAAATAATCATATATTTGAAATAATAGGAAGAAAATTCTGCTGTGCATGCTGTGTCCTCTCTGGGGCAGTGTGGGGCACGGATGGAGATACACTTACATGGAGATTAATCGAGTAGAAGAAGAACATGGGGACCTTTATTCATATAACTCAATTTTCACTGATAAGAGGAATATAGGCTTGTAAATATGATTGTTTACATGTCTGTGTGTTCTTACAGCATTTGTGTGTGAAGTTTCATTATTTCAAGATAAATCTCCCAGTAAAAAAAAAAATCTATTGCCATTAATTGTTGACGAACCATATAAAAACCCACATGATCACATTTGTATTGTATTGTATTGTATATTTTATCACAATATGCACCACATAGAAGTTATTTAAATTGTGCCTCAAATCTTGAGCTATCAAAGTTTCTGCATGATTTTTGTGATTTTGCCATGCTATGCTACTGTCTATGGTTATTGTCAACAATGTCGTGACAGTGTGATCCACCTGTATCAAGATGACTGATAGTACGCCGGGACCGGTTGAATTCATCAGGCCCATGTAGTAATCGATCAGAGCCTCCCTGCAGCCACGATTGTAAAGGTTGAGCTCCTCATTCTGGAACTCATAGTTGTAGTGGGCGTTGTTGTCTGTCAGGTGGTACTGCAGGCAGGGCCGAGGGGACGCAGGGTTACAGCAACTGAATGGGACGCCGTCCAACAAGTAGCGCCCATCTATGTTGCTACGGATGCGACTAGAGATTGAGGGGAGAGAGGGAGAATAAAAAGTGGAATGAAACAAGAGGACAGGTTTTATATATATATATA